TCCCTACCTGTTTTGGCCCTACCCTTTTTTTAGCTTGACTCTCACAGTACTTTGCCACCTATCCTTCTTGTTTCTTGGCAGCCTGCAGTATCTCCCTTATTGACGCAGGAAAGAATCTGGTGTGCAAACTTTAACTAGAATATACAGCAAAAAAGAGATGGATGTGCTCAAAATCTGGAATGGCTTACATACATAAAGAAACTAGTTTCCCTTCCTATGGAGAAACTGTTCCACTCTCACTGACTAACTGAAAAAAAATTACCTAGGAGGTGATTTAAAATACTGAGTTCCACTGACCCTGCAATGCTCTCCCTCTGCCTAGCAAAGCTCTACTTGCTGTTACTGATAGTATTCCTGTTGGAGATGGTTTCTAAAATAGTAAGCTACTGTCATTCAAAATGGTGAGGTCTCACTAAAACAGAAATGTATTGTTTGTTTGGCTTTTGCTTTTGTTTTAAATACCTAAGAACCCTGTCCCTCCCTTCTCCCAGCCTTTTCTTATAATACAAAGCCCACTCAACTCTACTGTGACTATATTCTGAGTCTTTAAAGTATACTATGTATACCATGATGGAATTTAATTTCACAATATAAAACTCTTCCTTTTAAATTGGCATTTTTAAGTTCTCTTTAGTAATAGTAGAAGGGTCCACTGACATATTTTCATGACCGATCTCCTCAGAGAAGGATCTTCCAAAAGGTTGAATATAGACTTGATCTCACTGATGGAGGAAATTAACCTGTAGCTTATAGTCATTTTAAATGCTGTCCTAAGATATTCTGAGGTCACAGGGAGATCGGTCCAGTTCTAGTTTGTCAGAATTTCAAAAGTCAAGTTGGTGTGAAAATGAAGGGAAACTAACAGGGTACTTAAGTAGTCACAGGCATTTGGCTAGATGCAACCCTCATGACAACCCTATGAGGTTGTATCCTACAGAGATACAAGTGAGGATCAGATAAAGTTAATTACCTGCAAAAAGTCTCCAAGCTATTAAGTAATAGGGCTGAGACCGAAAGCCAGGTCTGTTCTATTTGAATCTACTGATAAAAGCCAAGGTCTTTTCATTTCCCCACACACTTCCCCAGCCTGAAAGACTGTCAGCTTCAGACATCCTCCCTCCACTACCCATGCACCTAGCAGTCCCATGGCAGGGGTGAGAGAGGGCAAAGGCTTCAAAATCTGAAATGCTGGCACTTATTGTATACACAGCTGTAATACACATGCTCTACCGCATCCTAAGGTGAAGTTTCCCTGCTACCCATCCCTTCCTTGCTCCTCACATCTCCTGAGTGTCTGCTGTTGATGCACAATGAAAAGGCATTGCTGGACTTTGCACCCAAGCAGCTGATGACCACAAGGATAGGTCCATTCCTCCCAACAGTTGTGGAAGACAGAAGAGGCATTAGGTCTCTGCTGCAGGAAGTCTGATTACATACTAAATTAATCTAATGATTCGTAGCATGTAATAAGTTTAGGCTTTGGAGAAACATTCTTCTAAATCTTGCAAATATTTTACAATAATGCAACCTGATTTATGACGATAAAACTGAATATTTTACTAAAAAAGTACTATTGGCTACCAAGCCTGAGTATTTTCTATGTGCTATTCTAGAACTTCCCACCTTCTAAAATATGAGAATTCCTTTTTAACAGCAAAACACTCATGAAATTCCACAGGATATTTATTTTTAGCCTCATTAATTGAGAAAAGACATATACACAAGTTTCGTTGCACAATATCCCTGGGTCCTAAGCTTGGAACCATGACTCTATCTCATTTACCCATCTGCCCCTAACTCTCCTTAGCAAGGGAGAAACCCTTTTTCTGGTTTCCTCTGCAATGATCAAGTTTTGGTGCTTTTTTCTAATATAATGGTAATTCAGAGAAAGGGGAAAGTTAGGCTATAAATCTAGGGCATTCACCTTTGTCCTGCTGTATGTCTGATGGTGGAGGTGAGGTGATGCAAGGCTCCTTCACTTCTGGAATGCCTGCTCTCCAGCTTCTTCCATCCAGACAGGTTGGAGACACTTCTGCAGGTTTAAAAAATAAATCCATAGTGGAATTGCCAGATTCTATCAAGAATACGAAAGGCATAAAAAGATTGATCCTAAACTTATAAACAAGGTATTTAAAAGAATAATAGAACATTTCTAAATGTGAATATACACATCTAAAATTACAGTGAATTTTGGACTTCCCTGGTGGCACAGTGGTTGAGAATCTGCCTGCCAACGCAGGGGACATGGCCTCGAGCCCTGATCCAGGAAGTTCCCACATGCCATGGAGCAACTGGGCCCATGTGCCACAGCTACTTAGCCTGTGCTCTAGAGCCCACAAGCCACAACTACTGAGCCCAAGTGCCTGGAACCGTGCTCCGCAACAAGAGAGACCACTGCAGTGAGAAGCCCGCACACTGCAACCAACAGTCGCTCCCGCTCGCCACAACTAGAGGAGGACCGTATGTAGCAACAAAGATCCAACACAGCCAAAAATAAATAAATAAATACGTTTATTAAAAAAATAAACTAAATAAAATTACAGTGGATTTGGAGGAGGAGAGCTAAGAGACATAAGTAGGGGTAACAATGCTATATTAAAGAATTTTTCAAAATGTTTTAAATTTATTTTAAAAGAAGAAAAAATTATTACCTTGACTCTTAAAATTGTGCAGGGGAAGAGCATTAGTAACTGAAGCTGCCATGTAATGTAATTCTGCAGAAGATGGGACTTCTAGACGATCGCTTTGCTGTTTGATACTATTATCATCTGAAGGCTCTTCTCTAACAGGTAATTTGTATAGATCATCCGCTTCAATGTCAATCACATTTATGTAAGTGTGCCCAATCTGAACCAAAACACACAAAATCAAAGAGGGTTACATTCTTTTTACTTATAGTACGGCCACTCTACCCTACCCCTGCCCCAAAAAGGTTTAATTCTCAAGGCAAGAAGAGCTTATATAAGCCTAACTTAGGGCAAACTTCAGGAAGTATGTGTGATGGTCTTAGTTTACAGTATTTGGGGGCACAATATTTAAATTCTAAACTAATTTTTGACCTTTCCAACAAATCTATGTAGATGAGATTTTTGGCCTCATTTCACCTATACAACTGAATAATGCAGATGACCATAATAAAATTTAGCACAAAGGTATTATTAAAACTTCTTATTAAAACTTCCAAATTTAGTACCGTTTCACTTGCTGAAGGTGACAGAGGTTTCTCTGATATTTCAGTGGAAAGTCTGAGATTCAGATATACATCTGGTGCCAAAAGTTGAGGAACACTGAAAGATTCATGTTCTAAAAATAAGAAAAATCAGGATAGTAAAAAAAATCTGTAAATAGCTCTATGTCATTAACTTGGTAAGAAAAAGTTAGCAACAAACAATATTAAAGACATTTGTTGGACAGGCTTCCCTGGTGGCACAGTGGTTAAGAATCCACCTGCCAATGCAGAGGACATGGGTTCAATCCCTGGTCCAGGAAGATCCCACATGCTGCGGAGCAACTAAGCCCGTGCACCACAATTACTGAGCCTGTGCACTAGAGTCCGCGAGCCACAACTACTGAGCATGCATACCACAACTACTGAAGCCCGTGCACTCTAGAGCCTGCGTGCCACAACTACTGAGCCCACACGCTGCAGCTACTGACGCCCGTGTGCTCTAGGGCCCGTGCTCTGCAACGAGAAGCCACCGCAGTGAGAAGGCTGCACACCACAATAAAAAGTAGCCCCTGCTCACTGCAACTAGAGAAAGCCTGTGCACAGCAATGACGACGCAATGCAACCAAAAAGAAAAAAAAAAAGGCTATTTGTTGAAAATCTAAGTAGAAGTTTCATAGGTATAAATAAATTAAAGCAAATTGTATTCTATTCTAAGGGCAAATTACTCTAGAATAATTCAGAATTGATGCATATTGACTATTGCTTTTCTCATATGAATGGCTCACAAGAATAATGAAATATCTAAGTCATATCAAGAAAATGCTATAATTTCATTTTTCAATTTCAGATATATTAAGTCAGTTTTGCTTGTTTAAAATTTCAATAAAACCAGGCTTTAGGAAATTAATCATAACTAATTTATTTTTTTACTTTCCACACTGTTTCTTTTTGTTTGTTCACTTGTTTAACCAGCTTATTGAGATGTAATTCACCTCCTTTAAAAATGTACAATTCAGTAGTTCTTAGTATATATAAAGACCATAGCTAAATTTTACCACTTAAAATGTTTAATATCTTAATTTTACAAAAGTCATTAGCTTCTTATTCAAAACAATATAGAAGCCTGTCACAATAAGTCAGCAGTCTAACTCTATGCCTTTTGTCCTACAACTCTAATCTTATTTCCTAGCATTGTATTTTTTTCCCCTAGCATTGCATTTTTAATACAACATTACTTTCAAATTTCACAAGCAAAATATAACTCATTGCAATACTGAGTACTGGAAACTTGGCACCAAGGCTTGAATTTAAACCACGTGACAACCAAAAAACTAGAAAAAAATGGCTTCCCTTGTGGCACAGTGGTTAAGAATCCACCTGCCAATGCAGGGGACACAGACAGGTTCGAGCCCTGGTCCAGGAAGATCCCCCCATGCCGTGGAGCAACTAAGCCCATGCGCCACAACTGCTGAGCCTGCACTCTAGAGCCCACAAGCCACAACTGCTGAGCCCACGAGCTACAACAATTGAAGCCCGCGTGCCTAGAGCCCGTGCTCTGCAACAAGAGAAGCCACCGCAATGAGAACCCGACGCACTGCAACGAAGAGTAGCCCCTGCTTGCCGCAACTAGAGAAAACCCGTGTGCAGCAACGAAGACCCAATGCAGCCAAAAATAAATGAATAAAATAAATTTTTTAAAAAACTAGAAAAAAAGAAAGTGAAAATACTTAAATTATCATTCTATCTCTATCAAATCAATTGATTGGTTTAACTGCTTTTTTTATGGGGGTCGGTAACTCCTGTTTCAGCCGTCATGCAGACATAACCTTTAACTAGTCATGGTGTTCTCAGAAAAAAAAAGAAAGAAATCACACCTGATGAGGAAGAAATGATTTGCTGATTTTTATGACATTCAGAAACAACTTCTTGAGAAGCAGCATCTTTATCTTGTAGTCAATTAGGAGATTTGGGACAAAAAGAGAAAACAGAAAAGGATTTCACAAGCACAGAAAAAATCAAATATACAAGTGCAGATTTTTATATATTGTGTATAAAATGTGGTAGAAAAGTAGACAGCTTAAGAATTTAATTTTTTAATTAATATGATAATTTTAGATTCTATTACTATTAATATCCTGGGCCTGATCACCTGAATGAATAACAAACTTCTAGCAAATAGGCTGCTGACTTTAGAAGACTACAGAGCAGTCAAGTACCTCCTAGGCTTTCTCAAAGATACATTTAAGAAATGTTTCTCAAATGCGCACTCACCATTTGCATCAAAAAAATCTTATTAAAAAAAAACTTGTACATGCTCAACCTCATTCAGAAAAAAAATTAAAATAACAGAGGCCTTTTTCTTTAATCTACTGGATTGGTAAAGGGTAAAAGAGTTAGCTAAATCATAGTGATGAACAACGACAACAAAAAAGGCTCTATGCAAGAAGTTACTCACTGAAGCATCATTCATAGGAGAAAAATACTGGAAACCACCTAATACATTCATTCATTACATTAATGAAGAAGTCTGTCAGGCAAAATTCCAAATAATAGCTCCTCCAACATTTATTTCCTCTATTTTTGGACACAGTTACATATATTCTTCCCACACTAAACCCAATCTAGTCCTTCTCTTCCTAACTCAATTTCAGTAGCCACGGCTTCAGGCCTCTCAATCTTAGGCATGAAATTCTAGTAAAGTCAATTATGGCACAGAGAACACAAATTCAAAATATTATTTCTACCAGGACTTCCCTGGCGGTCCAGTGGTTAAGACTCCACTCTTCCAATGCAGTGGGTGCGGTTCAATCCTTGGTCAGGGAACTAAGATCCTACATGCCGCATGGCACAGCCAAAAAATAAAAAATTTTAGAATATATATATATATAATTTCTACTGATTTAGGATGTAGTCCATGGCATTTTTAAACAAATACCTATTACGTTTTAATAAAGTTACCATAAATTCAATTTAAAATTTAATTTTAGTTTAAAATGTGTAAAGTATATACCAGGGCTGGGGACAAGAAGCTGGGATGAGTAACTAATATCACATAATTTTATTCATTTATTTTTTTACTTAAATATTTATTTATTTAGCTGCGCTGGGTCTTAGTTGCGGCATGCGGAACCTTCATTGCCATGTGCGGGACCTTTAGTTATGGCATGCAGGATCTTTAGTTGAGGAATGAGGGATCTTTAGTTGTGGCATGCAGGATCTCTCAGTTGAGGCATTCAGGATCAAGTTCCATGACCAGGGATTGAACACAGGCCCCCTGCATTGGTAGCGTGGAGTCTTCCCCACCAGGGAAGTCCCTATCACATAATTTAAAATTCCCTTTAAATCACTGTTTTGAAAAAAAAGTTGAGATATATTAAATATTGCAAAATGTAATGAATTTTAAAAATTAAAGTGAAATGGCATTTTACCTGGGTCTGTATTTGTACTTGCATCCTGACATCCTTTAACTTTCTTTTTTACAGAGGCCATGAAATGCAATCCAGCTGAAGTATTAACATTGTCCTGGAGCTTTTCTTAAATATAACAACAAAACATTGGAAGCAATCACTGAGAAGCCAATATATTACCAGGAGCCCAGAAGCAGAGTACCTAACTCAAGGGAGGTGAGGAATTCAGTGTCAAGTTGTTACCAAAATGGACTTTCTGAGTGAAGTGGTATCTAAGTTGACCCTCACAGGCAGCTCAGTAGAATTAAAACCAAAATTGTGAAGGACTCTGTATGCCCAGGCTAGAAACCTATTCTTCTGACTGATGAAGATCCAGTAGAAGTTGTTGAGCAGGGAAATGATACGGTCAGACTGATGTTCTACAGAAACCACCCCAGCCAGTGTGTGGAAAATAAATTTGAGTGGATAAAATTAAAGTAAGGCAATCAGATAGATGAGGCTGCTGCAGCAGTTCAAATAAGTACCTAGTAATGGTGAGGAATAGAGGAGAGAGGATAAATTTAAGAATTAAAACGATAGTAAAATAGGCAAGAACTGGCTACTGACTGGTTGAGAGGGGGAAGGGGAAAGCAGAACTCAGAAAAATGTGTGTTTTGATGTTAAGTTGGTAGTGACACAAATAGAGATAGAGAACACAGAAGAACAAACCAGTTGGTAGGGAAGGGATAATGAATTCAGACTGCACATGCTATGCTGTACCTGAGGTAATTTCCACCCTGGAGGAAACATTCAGCAG